GAGTTTCGCCGCCCCCCAATGTCCTCCCGCGCCGACCCCTCCCCCGCCCTTCCCTGGCGCCCCTCCCCCAGACGTGCTGGACGAGAAGATCGTCTCCGAGGTCATGAAGGGCATCCCCGCGGGCCGGTTTGGGAAGCCCGAGGAGGCGCGAGGCCGAGTCGAGATCGGGCCGAGATCGGGCCGGGCCTCCCCCCCCCCCCCCCGGGCCGTTCCGTGGGACGGCGCTGCTCCCTCCGCCCCGCGGCGCCTGCGTTCTCTCTCTTTGTGCGTGCGTGCGTGCGTGCCGCCCCTCTCCGCGGAGGCGTGAGGCCGCCGTGTGGCGCAGGTGGCCGGGCTCGTCAAGTTCCTCGCCCTCGACCCGGCCGCTGACTACATCACCGGCCACTGCATCAACGTCGACGGCGGCATCGCCATCGGCACCTGCTGAGGCACTCGCTGAGGCGCGTCCGGGGGCGGGGTGGGGTGGGTTGGCGGGGTGGCGATGGCCGAAGGCGGCGGCGGCACAGCGAGCGAGCGCGGATGGCGACAGCGGAGTGGCGGCGCGACGCGCGACCTATCGCGCGCCGGGGCACGACGCTGCGCTCTGGCCTCTGCTCGCTGGGTGTTGTGTCACAAGACAGCCGGCGGAGACTCGCACTTGGAGCACTTGGAGTGCAGTCATTAAACCCGGCGCCACGTTTTTCTTTCTGCTGTCGCTGCTCGGACTTCATTTCCAGCTCCATATGTTCCCTGTGAGTGTCGCCTCCTTCGCGCTTGCGCCGGCCGTCCGGCCGGTGGTGACGACGCCGGTGGTCCGCGCGCCCGCCCCGCTCGCCGTCGCGCCCGCCGCGGCCGGCTTCGAGAAGGGCATGTCCCAGTTCGCGGCGGACTACCCCTGGCTCGCGAAATACGGTTTTGGCCCGACGGTCAAGGCGGAGAGGTGGAACGGCCGCCACGCCATGTTTGGCTGGCTGGCGATCCTGGGGACGGGCGTTGCCAAGTCGCACGGCTGGCTGCCCAGCGGGGACGTCGCCCTCACCTACAACGAGTGGGGCGGGCTCGCGCAGCAGGGATTCAACACTTACATCACCAACGAGCGCGCCATCATCATGATCGCGCACGTCCACGCGCTGGCCGTGTCGGCCGCCGCAGCCTTCGGCCCGCAGGTGCTCGGCGACTCGCTCACGCTGCTCGACGGCGAGAAGGACGAGGTGAGCGCCGCTCGCCCTCGCCGCCGCCGCCGCCGGGCGTGCCTCAAGGAAGCAGAGAGGAAGCGGCGGGGCATACCCAGCGCGCGCGCGGCAGGCGGGGACGGGGTGGGGCGGCATCTCTCGCCGACGCCCCCCCCCCCCCACCCCCCTCCCCTCAGGACCCGTATGGTCTCTTTGTGCCCCTCAAGGGCACGTTTGGCCTCACGCCTGCGGCAGAGATGGCAAACGGGCGCATGGCCATGATGGGCATCATCGCCGTCGTGCTCACCTCGGCCATCTCCGGCAAGGACATCCTCGAGGTGGTCGACATCGGAACTGGCGGCAACCTCCTCACCCACCCCATGTTCTGAGTCTGCGCGCCGCCGGTGCAGCGGGGAAGCGTTCGGGTTTCCTGCTGTGTGCTGCAGGTCGCCCGGGCCCCTTTTGCCCCCCCCCCCCGCCCCCCCCCCAACCACCCCCTAGGACCAACTCGGCTGGCGCCGCCGCCGTGCATGGCACGGAATGCCCACGGCGAGACGTGATGAGGGCGAGCGATGGGATGTCGCGAGAGAGCGGAAGGGATGTCCACGAGAGCTTTTAAACGACTCTTAGAAAGCGATCGCAGCAAAAATCCATCGGGTCGCTCCTCATCGCAATCCCTCTAGCCTCTTCCCTGACAAACTGAAACTCTCCGTTCCCTGTCAGCAATGAGTCCTACCTACGGGAATGTGTACGTAAAAGCCATATACAACGCTTCCGAGCTCTCACGCCGCGCGTAGGGCCCTTGGGGCTTTTTGGCTCCCGAAGAAAAGTACGTAAAACGAAAAAGAAAGCGCACGGGATGGCTGCCTCCGGCGGCCACCTCAGTTATGCAGCAGCGGTGGCCAGCAGCGGCGGCACTGCCATGCCGCCGGCGCCGACGTGGATGCGCGAGGTCGCCCGAGATGACGCCAGATCGCAGATCTCACACGGAGCCTCTGAGATTTCGCTGACGTCGCGCGCTTCCGACGCGGGCTCGGTAAAGGACTCTGCCTCGGACGCTGGCTCGGCGGCCACGATGGACACCAGCCTCTCTGCCGGCACTCTCGCCTCGGCCGCGTCCACCGCCTTTTTCCCGCCCACCGTCCACTTCTTCTCGCTCGACGACTTTGCTGGGTGCCGGCTGCTTAAATGGTGGCCACGGCAGCGCAAGCTGGTGATCCCCTCGTCCTCCCTGGCCGCAGGCACGAGATCCACGCGATACTGGAGAACGGCGAGGGCGAGCACGGCGATCACGACCCTGCTGTCGACTTCCACGAGGAGGCGTCCTCGCAGGCGCGCTGCCTAGAGTCCCTCGCTCAAGCTTGCCGACCACACGGCGGCAGCACGGCCCGTCGGGCGGAAGGGTGCGAGTGCGGCGAGCCTACGTGCCGCTTTCCCTCCCGGCGCAGGCTCGCTCTGTCCGCCCCGGCTCGATCGTCTCCAACCTCGAGCAGGTGGGTGGGTTGCTGGAGGAGAGGGCGGTTATTGTGGGGCGAGGGAGCCGGCCAGAGGGGGGGGGGGGGGGGGTGTTGCACCATCACTGCCAGGGGGGCGGGAGGAGCGGGCGAAGGTGACAAGGCGGCAAGGTCGACGCGGCGGGGAGCAGGGCGGTTGGGGCGCAGCAGTGCCGCCGGGGCGAACCCCATTCTTACCTCACCGCCCCCCCTCCCCCTCCCCCTCTGGCAGCGGCTCGGCGAGATCGAGGGCGTGCAAGGCGTCGAGGCATGGTGCGTCGAGACTAGCCGAGATTCGCCGAGATCGAGGGCGTGCAAGGCGTCGAGCGTGGTGTGCCGGAGGGCTGGAGACGGGGGGGGAGGGCGGTGGCGTTAGCACCAAAGGCACGGAGGAGGGCGGTGGCCCATTGCCGAGGCGCCGTCTCCCTCTCCACCCACGCCTGCCCTCCCTCCCCCTCCCTCTCCCTCCCGGTGGACAGGCCAGAGGCGGACACCGTGCTGGGAGGGGCTTGCGCCGGCTCGTCCTCCTCCCACGCCGGCGATCAGGCTAGCCCGCCCGCCCAAGCAAGGGATGGGACGCCGGCACGCCGTCACCACATAGGGCTTTTAAGGGCAGGGGTTGGCGGAATAACTTTCACCCACCCTCCTTCGGGCGTCTCTACCTCTCTTCCTATCT